TTGTTTAATTCTTGCATTGTAGTAGCCACTTACCAACCTTAGAAGGAATGAAGGCGAATGGCCCAACCGGGGCTCGAATCCGGGCCATTTCGGATTTAAAAGATTTAGCAATGTACAGAAGTACATGTTATCATGTGAACAATGAAAATGCTAATAAGCATGAGTATGAATAAGTATAAAGTCTAAGTATAAAATCAAGCCAAAATTCATTATATAAAAGTCGCCTTCATTCCAGATATATATCGAGTTATGTAGACAGGCTGATTCCATGCCATTTTCGATGTACATACATCTCCCATCATTTCGCAGTCTAGATCCATGCATTGCTTGTCAGGAACAATGTTAGAAGCACAGAAAATACTGACGGAGAAGTGTCTGATGAAAGTATCATCCATCAAAATTTTAAACTGGGCCATTTCAATCGCTAAAGTGTTATTTAACGTTACATAAAATTCTGTTTTGCTTACTTCGCCTCTATTACCAAAAAATCAGACATCGTTCTGCTGCAAAACTGATAACACATAAATCTGCTATTTATGTAATAGCATGTAATGAGTACCAGTTCCTGAAACATCGTTGATAGTGAGCGGGAGGCTCAAGCAACAAAATGATGCGCGATGCAACTAACAATTAACGTTCTCAGAAGATACTGAAGCAGCTGTGGCATGCCTAAACTGTTCCCCGGCAAATCAGAAACAAAAGTCGTTGCAGTACGGCGTGAAAATTGGTTTGATAGAGTTATGCACACCCTATATTTATTGTTTTCTTACCAAAAATTAATATATAATTTATCAACGCAATCAAAGCTACACTGACCGAATCGTCCTCCCGCTGGACCTCTGAAACGGCAAGACGAATTCTGTCAACGTCGATACGAAAATCACGATTTGTACTTGGCTTCATGTTCTCCATGAAATTAATTTTGCATTTGGCGCCAAGTCTGATCAGCTGATTTTCATAGTTCTCGATCGCGAATATGAGGCTTGATACATTCTTCATCTCACTCATCACTTTGCTCTTTGTTACTACGGCGTATCTTCGCGGACCGCTTCTCCGAAGAAAGCTCTCTTCCTCGGCAAGCTGAAATTACGCTGAAGTAAGTGACAGCAACCGATAATAATAGTACAGAAATACTTTGTTTAACGCTGATCTGTATAAAACAGTTTCGCTCTCACGTTCTTTGTACCCGGACCAATTTTTACTTTCTCAATATGTATGACGTATAACCAAATATCATATTTAACATTTTTCAACAGACGAATGAAATGACACTAATACGTGTTTACATGTAGGGGTGGCGGTCGAGCATCGTTGACATCAGTTAATTAATTCCCACTATTACTATTACGTGGCACCATATGTTAGTCTGGGCATGTGACTGACTACGTTTTTGATATAAATCAATTAACCCATAGTTATGGGCAAAACATGTGCAAGTGACAGTGTTAAATTCCAGCAAAAACAAGGAAATCTATTAGATATGAAGCAAAATAAAAGTACTACAATGAGTAGAATAAGGTCAGAGTTAAATTCCGAATTAACTCTAAAACTAAAAGTTCAAGAAGTAATTGATTTGAAAAATAGAGACAAAACTCTTTCAAATATAGATCAAGTACGGAATCAGCAGCACGCGTCATTCAGTCAGTAAATCATCACGGAAAATGCAGAAAAGCATATTTACATATCTTCAAAAGTGATGAATTCAGGAGGATCGTCAAGAAAAAACACACTGGACCCAGGGTGATTTCATAAATTTAAGCATTGTGTAGCAATCTGCATGACCTAAAACTATCGTAGGATAGCAAGTTATGATGACTACGTGAACTTCCAATCAAATGAGAAGAGAATCAATCATATCATTGAAAATAATCATGGAGTGTAGAAATTATACTTCTCATTTTGTTTTGAATATTGATGAAACGGGATTTAATAAGAAGAGAATTAAACCTTCTGTTTCATATATGGAGAAGTAAAGCTTGCGCTGGACCTAAAGTTGCCACAGACAGAACCATATTTATGTTGGAAGTCAATTCCTTGGAAAACATAAAACTAAAATTCTTGCTTATCCACTACTCACAGTCTTTTAGAAGAGTAAGAAGATATTGCAAAGAAATCTGACCGTCATTCGGAGGTCAAGCTCGAAAGCGTGAATAAAAAACAACATTTTCCAGAAATGGTATCATTCATACTTTACTGGGTTTTATAGGGCACTGGTCATAAGTAAAACATAAAAAAAGTTTAGAAAGCAGCAATATCTGATTTGAAGGCATTGCCGGAAGAAGCATAAAAATTTTGTTAGTACCAGGGCCTCTAAGCAAGTTTTAATGAAGGGTCGACGGAAGAACCCAAAGCAAGAACTCTCTTCATATCTTGCAGAAAAATGGTTACAATGTACGGTAAAAGATGGTGCAAAAACCCACCTGAAAATGAGTCAGCAATTGATAGACAAAGCGAGTGACATGAGTGCCGGAACGTGCAATGATCTTTTCGAACTTTGGAGGCAATACCAAGATCTTGCTCCAAACGTG